TTTACATTGAGTGTAAAAACTCGTTTTAGTTTGCTTTAGTGTGAGCTTTCTATTTTAATCAAAGGGTGTCAAGCTAAGGGAGTAGGAATTCTGAACGTATGAAAGGAGAAGAAAGCATACAACAAATGAGGAATGACCACATAGGGCTGTTGAACAGATTTGCTGTCCAAAGGGATCAAAAGGTTATGGAGCCAGCTGGTAGACAGCCCACGCCTGCCATCCACGTGCTTGTACTGAAATCGCCTCTACCATTGTCATTAATGTTTGAGATGTTCATTGTGGCAAGTTACATTGTAAAGTATTGCTTTAGAAATGCAAAACCTGTTTCTAGTATAGGAATCTTCTTAATCATAAAAATAGGCAAAATATTTAAAAATATATCCGATAAATAGACCACTCGTCAGATATTTTCTTATAATTTAATAATTCTAGGCATTTTACAAAACACAATAATTCCCTAAGCAATATTGGCAGCTCCCAACTTAGAATCGAGCTTTGTCTAAAAGTCCTTTTATTACATATTTGTTTGAAACTCAGAAAATGCTCTTACCTGAAGAGCAGAATGGTGTACTGGGCTGATGGACTGTGATGGTACTTCATCTTAAAGCTTAAGTTTAATGTGAGTGTTAACTATCTCTTCTTCATAGTGAGTAAGTGAGTAAGTGATTGGACTGTGAGGAAGATAAGGCATCTGGTCTTGCTGGGATTTTCTATATTATATTTAGGTACAGTATGCAATAAGCCTTTCACAGGTTTGTTTGAGAATGTAAGGAAACAATGGGTCAATTGCTTTTCTCAGGATTATTATTTTTTTTTAAGAGGCAGGGTCTTGCTATGTTGCCCAGGCTGGACTCCTAGGCTCAAGGGATCTTCCTGCCTCAGCCTCCAAAGTAGCTGGAACTATAAGTGCCCACCACCATACCTGGCTCTCAGGACACATGACAGCATTCAATGAAAAACTGTTTGTAAACTTTTTATGTAAAGCACATAATACAAGTACAGAATGTTGGCTGGCTGTACCTTTCCTTTTCTATGTTGGTTTCTATAGCTTTGTTCTCTTTATTGCTACTGCCTCAGAATTCACTTTAATTTATATTGCCCAGGGATTCTGGCAGGAGACTGGAGACAACTGAGGAAGAAAAAGGAGCAATAATCTGTCTTAACTGAAAAGCCAGCTCACAGATTGTTATAAGAATCAAGTCCTGGCCGGGCGTGGTGGCTCACGCCGGTAATCCTAGCACTTGGGGAGGCTGAGGTGGGCAGATTGCCTGAGCTCAGGAGTTCAAGACTAGGCTGGGCAACACATAAAACCCTGTCTTTACTAAAATACAAAAAATTAGCTGGGTGTGGTGGTGTGCACCTGTAGTCCCAGGTACTTGCGAGGCTGACACAGGAGAATTGCTTGAACCCAGGAGGCAGAGGTTGCAGTTAGCAGAGATCAGGCCACTTGCACTCCCTGGGTGGACAGAGCAAGACTCCATCTCCAAAAAAAAAAAAAAATTAAGTCGTAATTGAGTGCTATGAAAATTTTGCTTCAGATAACGGTGCTCTTTTCTTGAACCAGTCAGGAAACATTATTTTATCCTCTTAAAATATTGTGAATATATAAACTTTTGCTGCTTAATTTCTGATGGATAATTTGTGGATAAATGCATTGTGATTCCTATTTTAATGGTAATGGACTCACTACTGCATATATTCTTGTAACACTGACTTGTAGAAATATTATAAATCTTGTCTGAGTCCTCAGTCTTTGCATGTTTGTTGGTTCTATGTTTCAATAACAGTTTAAAAAAATTTTACTGGTTATTTTTACTATTAGGTTGGTGCAAAAGTAAATGCAGTTTTTGCCATTAAAAGGAGTGGCAGAAACTGCAATTACTTTTGCACCAACCTAATAAATAGGGATAAATGTTATTTGCTGAAACTTTTTTATTACAGTTCGGGTGAAGATAAATGTTATGAGTTGTCTCAGATTTATTTTGAAGTGAAGCTGTTTGGCAGAACCCAATTTTACGTATGTCCTATTTGTGACATTCTACATGTAGCATTTGGAGAATTGACTTTTTTATGAGGTCAGGCACCCGCTGGTTTATGAAATGTGCCCACACTTGCCCTTCATTTCAGTCAGTGACGACTCTGAGGCAAATGCTGATGGTTCCTGATTTCCTTTGGCCTGCGACGCAGAGTGACCTTACAGGGCATGAGGTCACAAGTGTAATTATTTCTCGTACATTGTATTCCGCCTGCTCACAGGGGCTCATCTCCTCTTTTAGTTTCAGAAAGATTAAACACGTAAAAGTCACTACCATTATATAAATCAAAATCTCTTCTAAAGAGTGTGCCGTTGTAATTGTATGCAGTTATGGCCAACATAGTATTAATTTGCAAATTTATCACCTCAGATATTGATAGAAGGATGTGTAACACATCGTGTTTAATACGTATTGATGTCATCAGAAAGCACAATCCTTTGTTCTTATCGAGTCCCTGCCTTTTTAGCTTCCTTTTGTGTTAAGGTTACCAGGGTTAGGCTCGTCTTTTTATCCCCCTTGGAAACAGAATAGGCTTTCTTTGTTCAATGAAAGACACTCTTAGTAGATGTTTTGGGTTTGACTTTGAACAAGCCACACTGTAGTACCTATTTTAACCTGGAATTGAAGTCACTTTTCTGATGATGATAAAGTAGTGGTCATTCTGAGCATGAATGTGGATGGACCAACAC